AAATACAGTCAAAGACAAATACATCCTACAACCTAACAGTTCCACATGAGTCTATTTTCCTTGAGCAATAGTTTTCTAAGTGTGTTCCAGGACTAGCATTATCAGCATCACCTAGGAAGTTATTAAGTATGCACATGTTCAAGCCTCACCCAGTCATTCTGAATCAAAAACCTAAGGTTGAGGAGGGGTTTGATTCTGATGCACATTAAAGTCTGAGAACTCCTGCCCTAGAGAAACTCCTGCCCTCTCACACAAGCCCCAAGGAGACATATAGAAGAACAAGTAAAGTATAGTCAGAGGTTTAAAAAAGTGCCAGAATGTCTGCATTCAAATCCCAGCCCCACCATTTCTTGGTCCTTTGATCTCGAGAAAGTTATGTAAGTTTTCTGTACATTAGTTACCTGTCTGTAAAATGGAGATTAATATAGTTCCTTCTGCATGTAGCTGTGGCAAGGATTAAATGAATTAATTCACATGTGGCAGTTACACTTCTGCCTGGCACAAGTAAGCGCTCAATAAATGTTGTCTCATTATCATTAGGATGTTCATTGCAGCCTTGCTTGTAACAGTAAAGTATTGGAAACAGATTACTTAAAAGTAAGACTGAAAGCAAACACGAAAAAGGATTAAATTTAGTAAAAATTGGGTGATGGATATTCTTGGTACTTTTCCCTGTGTTTAAGTATTTCCCAAGAAAAGAAGAGTAGTAAAGTCATCATTTACCTATTCACATCTCCATTTCCACAGAAAAGTCTTAGTTTAGGTGAATTAACATATGTTGATTTTAAAAGTTTCCACAGAAAGAGGTGACTGAAGTTGTGTTATTGGTATAAAATATAAGGTTATGTGGTCCCAACATACTTTTTATGTCATCCTTCTCCAGCTTGCACTTGTAAATTCTATATTCCAATCAAATTTGCATAAATCTGTCTTTTTCCATATTTATATCTTTACATCCACCATCTCCTCTATGTTTACTGCCCTATTCAAATTCTATCCATTTTTCAAGTCTTCAGCTCAAATGCCACCTCTTTGATAAAGATGTACCTGAGTCTCTGTGTTATAATTTATATCTTCTACCTCTCAGTGTTCCAAATACTAATTCTATTTATCACATAGCCCATGCCACATTCTGCCTTATGTTAGAAATATTTTCCCCCTACTTCATTTTACTATACAGAGGCAAGTCATCCTTTTTAATGGAGCAAAGGTTGCTACAATCTCAAAAATATCAGAGCAAACCAATTCAAATATGATTCAAATCCTGATTTCAATTCACTGAAAACACACATCAAATGCTACCCATGAAACCCCTAAGGTCTCAGCTTCACCACCAGTGAATAGAAATTATGATCTGAGTCCCCATCTTCTTGTCTGTCGGTAATTACAAAGTTTTCCCAGGATTCTCCAATACAAATGTTCTTGATAATTCTCAAATTATGGGTCCTAGAGAAGGGTCCTTTCCCTCTAAGAGGCTGGGGAAAGGTGGTCTGATAGGGTAGGGAGATGGGTCTCTCTCTCATAAACGGAGCCCCTAGCTGTAGCTTTATGGTGCCTCAGCTGGGCAGCTGCTCTGGGTCCACTCCACATCCACTGGTGGTCGCCCACTTCGTCCAGAGGACTAACCTTACCGCCTGCTTCTTAGGCCAGCAGAGAAATGCATCTGCTGATCTTACCACTTTTCAAAGGCAATTCCTAGGAGGTTCTGTTGGGCCATGTCCTTCACAATGCAAATGGGTACCTCTAGGGGGATTAGGGAAGGAGTTGGCGGTAGAGCAAGTAAAGCTTTGCAGTACACTTCAGATCCTTGCTCCTTCATACCTCTGGACTCTGCTGCTTTCTCAAGGCCACTCTGCAAGACTTCTCTCTTATTTGCAATAATTTTCACATATTTCCCTCTGGGAGAAACCCTACTCCATCAGACAGGTCTGTGCTTGCGTGAACTCCAACTCTGGAACAAAAGCAGGTTATTTCCCATGATATTCCTGGCCTCATGCAGTGGTAGCACCAGGGTGGTCTTTGCTGGTGGACTTTAGCCTCCACAACCAAGTAAAAGTGTCATCTGAATAAAAACTATGTAAACTTCGAGAAAATGTCACATAATCCTCTTTTTCAGCCTCATTGACACCACGAAATTTCACCTCTATAAAAATTCTGGAGTCATAATTGAAATCAAGCGGAGTGGCTGATCATTCTTTCAAATTAGAAATATTCTGACAGTTAGGAGCCTGCAAGAGAGAACCTCTAGGGGGTGATGTTATCTAACAGAATCTCACCATTCCTAGTCCAAATTATCCTGTTTACATTCTTCATTGCCTAACTCCACATCCAGCAACATTGTTGGTAAGAATCTTGCCAGGTTAAACATATTTTGGTAAACATTTAGATGGTCTGTAATGTTTTGCTATAGTCAACAGCTGTGTACCTATTCTTGTGACTTGCGTGAGTCTTTTTGAAGGTCAGAATTCCAGAAGTACAATTATGGTGGGCCAATAGATATCAGGTTCCATGGGTTTGATCTCAGATTCTGTGAGATACATAATCCAGACAAGCATTCTGTTCTCTTCTACCTCAGTGCTCTGAATATGTAGTTCCTCCTGCTTGGAATGTTCCACTCCTTCTCAGTTAGGTGAGTTCTGACTCCTTTAAAATTGAGTGCAAACTTCATGTCCTCTGATGCCTACCTACTCTTCTTCCCTAAGTGGAGTTAATTTCTCTATTTTCCATGTTTCTGAGTTGGATTCCATAACACTGTATCCTTCCAAGAAATTTTGGAGGTTTAAAAAATTATAAGTATCGCATGGTAATTGACAATTTTCCCCCTCTAGAAGTATCACTGCTTATAAATTTGGACATATATATTTCTATATCTTTTCCTCCATGTATGTATGCATAGACTTCTCTCCTAGTACTGTTTTTGCTGCATTTCATAAGTTTTGATATGTTGTACTTTTGTTTTCATTTGTCCTGAGATATGTTGTAATTTCCCTTTTGATTTCTTTTTTGACCCAATGGTTGTTTAAGACCGTGTTGTTTAATTTTCATGCATTTGTGAATTTTCCCATTTTCCTTTTGTTAGTAATTTCTAGTTTAATTCCATTGTGTTCATAGAAGATACTTTGAATTACTTCAGTCTTCTTGAATTCGTTAAGACTTGTTTTGTGGACTAACACATGATCTATCCTAGAAAATGTTCCACATGCACTCGGAAAGAATGTGTATTCTGCTGCTGTTGGGTGAAATGTTCTGCATGTCCGTTAGGTCCATTTGCTCTAGAATGTTGTTCAAGTCTGTTGTGTCCTTATTAATTTTCTGTCTGGATGATGTGTTCATTACTGAAAGTGAGGTATTTGAGGAGACTAACGAGACTGCTGTCTAGGAGACAGCACTTGTATCGCTATTTCTCCCTTTAGGTCCGTTAAATGTTTGCTTTAGATATTGAGGTACTCTGATGTTGGGTGCATATATATGTAATTATTACATCTTCTTGTGGAATTGACTCTTTTATCAGTATGTAATGACCTTCTTTGTCTCTTGTGACAGCTTTTGTTTTATTTTGGTAGACATTTAGATGTCTCTAATGTTTTGCTATAGTGAACAACTGTGTACCTGTCCTTATGACTCGTGTGAGTCTTTTGGAAGGTCAGAATTCCAGAAGTACAATTATGGTGGGCCAATAGAGTTGTATTCTGAACATTTAGTTCCAAATTGGTCTCCTCTACTATAGCCCCTTGAGGACAGGGACATATTGTTTTATTTTTTATTTTTTGTATCCCCCAGTGACTAGCATTGTACCTGAACATTTTAACTGCTCAATAAATATTTGTTGAATAATTGAATGAATAAGTGAATGAATGAATGAGAATAAAAAGTTTTGATGCCCAGAGATCTGATGAGTCAATAGATAGTTTCAATTTCATATTCAGCTCCTTTTCTATTCCAAAGCTGTGAGTAGGCCTCATGTTTCCATGTGGTCAAGGCATGGATACAGAGATCTTCTCCTGGCCCACGGGCAGGTACTTCTACTGTAGAGGGGCTAACAATTTCTTTTAACCTTTGATTTAAGGGCTAACTTCTGCATATTATTACGAGGCTGCCACCTGTAGCCACACTTAGTTGTAATTTCTTTTTTTTTTTTTAATTCAGCACCCACTTGGTGGAATGGGTAGCATAGTAGAATACTATGTGCTCGTGGCTATGTAGGAATTTGCATGTACATGTTTTCGTATGGAGATTGGATTTTCTTTTATATTTGTGTTGCCCTTATTTCCTTAACATAAACTCATCCTTAACTTGACCTTCTGTCTCAGTCACTCCCCACTTTAATCCATCTTGCTTACTCCTGCAAGATGAATTTTTCTAAAACCCTTCTCCTATCTCAAATCTTTAGTGGTCCCTATTTCATAAAAGCTAAACCTCCTTAGAATAACATTCAAGGCTTCAGTGGTGCGATCTCAGTCTGTCTTTGGACCATGTCTCCCATTACCTCCCAGTCAAAGTGTCCCATTTTTCTCTATGCACTAAATGTGTCAGGCACTTCCCTGAGTCTGGACAAGTGTTCTCCATTTTTCTCTACCCATCCAAATTCTTCTTGATCCAGCCAAGTCCTTTCCTGTGGGGCAACTTTCAAACCTGCTGCAGGGGCCCATGTGATTGCTTTCTTCCAAACTGCGAGGGACACTCTGTTGGCCTCACTCCTTTCATCTTTGATCAGTCTGCAACCCAACTAGCAACACTGTCTACAGCTTTTTTTTTTTAATCTCTTTCATTTGTTTTGTATCTTTGCCTAAATTTACATTTTATCTCTCACAGACACAGTTTAAGTTCCAAAAGGTCATGTCTTGCCCCAGGTCTGTATTCCCAAAGTCCTCAGTAAGTGTCTGCCCCTTGCTGGAGTGGATTAACATTCTGTTTTGCCAAAATCTTTAAAATGAGACCCATGCCAGTGTTTTATAAACTGTAAGATTTATAGTAACATTTCCTTTCTTTCCTTCTTTTAGCCATACTTCCCATTGCGTCCAGCTGTTGCACTGAGGTTTCACATCATATTTCCAGAAGGCTGCTGGGAAGAGTGAATATATGTCGCATCCAGAGAGCTGATGGGGACTGTGACTTGGCTGCTGTCATGTGAGTGCTCTTCAGCAGGGAGGTCTAAACCTACACAGATATCATTTCCCTGGCCAAAGAACAATAGGTTGGAAAGGCTTTACTTGATACATAACATACAAATAATCATCCAAACAAGGCAGGGAAGAGTAAATATCCTGTCCTTTGGGCTCCAGGCTCCCTGGAGTAAATACACAATCTCTCTGTGCAGGGAAGTCCCGGGCCCCACGCCAGCCATCTCTAGCTCCCCCCACTGCTGTGCTGTGGTTAGGGCTGCATGCCTTCAGCCACCAGAAAGTGTTCGTGACTTTCCTAAGCAAAACCAGGGAGAGTCTGAGTGAAAAAAACAAAACTCAAAACAGAAGGTGACTCGTATTTCATGGCTTAAACAGTAACTTTTTCCAGGCAAGTCTATGGGTTGCTGTCGTTTTTTACTCTCTGAATTAATCAGGAGTGTATTATAAAGTTCAAAAACAAGTGTGGAAATGTTCTCCACCTGTCACAAGTGTTATCTGCAATACAATCACAAGTGCCTTTCTCTGCTGTTGATTCTGGGGTGTTGGCTCATGGTGAACCCTCCCACTCCCACCCACACCCCTACCCTGGCTCAGTTATTGAAACCTTTATATTTATATGTATTTAACATCTCTGCAGAGGCTCCAACGTCTGAACTGCACTGGTATTTAGCAAATCTGGATTCTGGCAACATTGCTGTGAGGAAGACATAAACCATCTCCCCATCACACATGGGAGAAAGCTGTGTCTGAGATTACATAGTTCACCTGGTGTCATATAGCTAATGAAGGGCAGAAATGGTATGTGAACCCAGGTCTCTTGGTTCAGAATACTATACACCTCCAAGGTCATTCAGAAGGGATGGTGGGACTAACCATAAAATGCTCTCTGAAAACTCCATTGCATTGGAGGTATCAAGGCAAGCTGGTTTGAACACCACTTATGGCTCCAGGTGATGCTAGCGAGCCATTTGGTCCACCTTTCTTTGGGCTATAAATAAGCACATCGCTTATGCCTGAACTCCCAAGTCACTCATAAACCTCCTTATTCATTCAATGAATTCAGCAAATATTTATGGATCAGCAATTATGTGCCAAGCACTGGTCTATATGCTGGCGATGCAGCAGAGAGAAAATGGGCTCTGCCTGCCTAGAAAACTCTATCCAACTGAGTTCTGCAGATCATCTCTCATGAGATGATCTCCAGGATTTAAGAAACATTGTTTTTTTCCCTGTTCAGAGGGGTCTAGCCATTAAATATCGAGAAACACTTCTTCATCACAAACTTTCTTAAAAGTTTAGAGGAAGAGCTTATAAGATGTCCATTGATAGACTTTCTTCAGGTCAGGGGCTGTGAACTCCCTAAAATTTTTGTGTATATGAGCATTTTTCTGGGGAGAAATTCCATAGGTTTTATGAGATTCTCAAAAGCATCTGAGATCTAATAAAGTTTTAAAACCACACTCAGGGTCAGATGTTGGGGAGGTGACAATTCTTGGTCCAAACTTTTAATAAGTGCGAGGGTCTGTGTGGGAGAAGGGAGAGGATTGAGAACTCTCTCAGCACCCCCTCCGTTTGTGCCACCATCTGGATCCAGGTGGTTTAGTCACTGGGTACCAGCATAACTGTGGCAATCCAGGGAATACGTACTAATGAGGTGCCTTCTGAGGGGGGCTTCAAGTTCCTAAACTCTTTGAACAACTTCCTTAGTATGTGTCTGGCCAGGATTGTACCAGTCTTTTATTTAGTGAACACTGTTGGTAATAGTTGGAGAGTGAAAATTCATAGACAATTCATGAATAGACAATGCTGTACGTAATTAGAAACATCTAGGTATCTGTGTTAGATGGACACAACTGAACTAAATCTGCCTGATGCTGCTCTGGCTGCTCTTAGAAACACAGAGTTTTCAACTCCTCTCGATTCCTTCCACCTTATTGGCATATGTCACCTCAGATTAAAGGAGGCTTGAGAGCCTGTAAGGGCTCCGGTGGGTCTCCTAGAAAGACTTGGAGAAACAACCATAGGAAGTTTCTGTGGGTGTATAAGGATAAGAGACAGATTCTCGGAGTTATCAGGAGATGCTATTGGTAACAGAATTTTCAGAGAAGTTTCTTTGGGATGAGCAAGTGTGAGATAGAGATATGAAAGGCATAGGAACAGAAATGATGTCTCACTTTGATAAGGGAAAATATAATAAAAAACATGAGTCTTCATTTTAAAAAGAATTTAATTTTAATGAAAGAGGAACTATGAAACCAATCACCTGGATCTAAAAATATTTACTTTATTCAAACACAATTTTGTAAACTGACCTCTCTGTACTGATAAGAAAGCTAAAAAATACAGAGCTATGACGTGATCTCAAATTAAATTTGACTCTAGTATTGTTTAACCATAAATTATAGATACTCTCTGTTGTGCTTTCTGACGTTCAACATAAAGATTCTCTTGTTTTCAAATTGTTTTACTACAGAGCATGTCTTTATTTATCCAAAATGTAGTCCCTTAAACTTGACTGTGTATAAAGACTTTGAGGTTTGAGAAAAGTGTTTAAGATGCAGAGACATTGCTAGTATTGGAAAAACATTTCCAAAGTAGCATGCATTATTAATAACAATATAAATTAACTTACAGTGAACTCACTCGGTTTTTTTCCTTTTCTGCCCAGAAACTGGTCCTTTGTTTCACACCCTATAAATTATCATTGTAATTTTTGATGCCTGAAACAACAGTTTTCTTGTTTAAACTCCTCTATAGTGGACTTCACCAATGAGCTTGTGGATGCTTCTATACATAAATACAATGAAAAGTTGTTTATCTTGAGCAGAAGGCTGAGCTTTCTTGAATCATACAGACATTATCTGTTGGGAAGAAAATTTGGAGTTTTTAAATAAAGTTATCTGGGAGGCTTGAGTAGTTTTTCAGATGTGGTTGTGAGGAATGGGTAAATGAATAAAGTTTAGGGGAAATTAAACGTGTAATGTTTATGGCAGGGCCACCCCTCTAGATCCATTGGATTGTCTCGAGTTACCCTCCTGTGGGTTAAAAAAAAATCAGAGGATTACCCTCATGATTTCTTAGAGTCAAAACTGTCCACCTAGAAATTCATAACTGGAAGAGTGGGGGTAGTGCCCATCAGATGCTGTGGAGTTGAGCATGGGGGAGGGAGTGTGAAATCGGCTGCCCTACTTCCTTTCCCAACATTACTCCATCTCTCTTTATCCTGATGGAATACACATGGGAGTAAGTAGTGGTTTAAGCAGTTTTTAAACTTTAGGATTCTAAAACATCATAGCATCTCAGATTGAGGAACTGTGTTTTGGTAGCTGATTTTTTTCCTTTGAATCACATTGAGAGGTTCAGGCCCCACCCGTAGGGCTTCAAGAAGAGTCCCACGTGGTGCTTGTTGCCTGTTTTCCTAGGGCCCTTCACCTCTTTGAATCCTTTACCTATATTTGCCCCATCCAGTTCTCTCATTTGGCCTTAGTCCCATTATTTTAATAATGCAGTTGAGTCCTGCTTCTCTCTTGTATAACCTGTGGGCTTCTTTGCATGTCACTGAAATCTTTATCTGCTCAGGTTCTTGCTGATACCACAGGGAGAGGAGAGAGTTTTAGTCCTTTGGAAAGGTTAGGAGCTTCAACTCCAGTTTTTTGGTTTTTGTTTTTTCCTCTGTAGCAGTGCTAAAGCCAAGTTTTTTCCTGTAATAGCAAACCAATGGGCCATAGTGAGAATTAGCTTTTCTTTTGAAGACTTCTCAATCTAATACACTTAGGGAATGTATTATCCTCTTATTAAGATGCCCCACTTCTTTCAAATTACTATTCCCCACATACTGGCTTTATTATGCTAAAGCTCACTTACATCTTTCCCCATTTCCACCACCCCTCCATTTTATGAGTCCCCACATTCACTGGTAATGATTCTGGTTAGGTCATCTGGAAAAATGGCAGCCACTTCTCATCTCCCTGTTTCTTCCCGGAATGACAGGGTTGGGGGTTTCAATTTATCCAGACAGGACACAGAAACATTGCATATGTAGAGCCAGCAGGATTTGTGACATTTAATAAGAGCTAATGGCCCCTAATGGGAAATTAAAAGTCACAATATCTTTTGTAACAAGAAATTCTTCCAGTTACCAGAAATTGTAGCTGCTGCCCTAAGGTTCTTCCACTCCAGTGCGAAAACTTCGCATAGAAAAATGAAAATGAAAGCAAATTCTGAGCTTTGGAATAGATCTATACTGTAGTAAAATGTTAACAAATGCCTAGAGTATTTTAGTTAATTTTTTTGTTGAAAACAAAACCAGACTGTCCTTATTTTGAACAATTTTCACTTTGTATCTACAATGAGTTGCTTAATTCCTGCTATGAATAAGGCCTTTTCAACACATTTCTAGACTCAAGGAGCATAACTCCCTCAAGTAGCATAACTCCATAGGTGAGATGAGACAAGTGTACTCGAATAAAAGAGTAAACTAAGTGCCTGAAGAGTGACCTCTCACCATGGAGTGACCCTCAGCATGGAGGCTCAAAGGGAAGAGAAGAGGGCATTTAGCTGAGAGGATCTAGAAAAACCTCATGGGGAAGGATGTGTTTGAGATGAGCAGTGAGGATGAATTGGTTTCGTTGGGTGAAGCTTGGGGTGTCAGAGAAGAGAGTTGTTTTCACTTGGTTTTATTATTGTTTCTCCCCTCCTTCCTCTTCATCCAATTCCTTCTCCTCTGCCTCCTCCTCCTCCTTTTAATACTGTCTGCTGATGTCTGAAGACCCACAGGCAGCAGAGTAAGTAAAGTCAAGATCGAAACTTGTGGTGTTCAGCTTTAGAATTCAGTCCCTAAGAATATAGTGTCCAAAAGCGGGAGCTGCCTATAAGTCTCTGCGTTGTTATTTATTTGTATTTTCTATCAGTGATTTGTTTTCTTCCCTTCTTGGCAGCCTTCATGTGAAGCGCAGAAGAATCTGTGTCAGCCCACACAATCGTACTATTAAACAGTGGATGAAAGCGCAAGCAGCCAAGAAAAATGGAAAAGGCAACCTTTGCCACAAGAAGAAATCCCACGACAAGAGGAACAGTAACAGGGCACATCAGGGGAGACGTGGAACATATGGCCATAAAACTCCTTATTAGAGAGTTTACAAATGCATCTACAAAGACAATTCCTCCAGTGAACTTGGCCATGATTCATTATAAATTTATCACCTGAATTTTCCTTATTGGCAGACAACAGGGCAAGACAAAACATTGGTTTTAAAAAATGAACAATTGCATAGTATGCAAATATAGCCAGTAATGTATATTTAACTGAAAAATGAAATGGAAAGATAACATTTATCTTCATATAATATTTTAAGAGGAACATGTAGATATAATTTCTCCAACTTTTTTATTATGAAGCTTTCCAAACTTATAGAGAAATTAAAAGAATGGTACAATGAACACCTGTTTATCTTTCATCTAGATTAATCATTGTTAATATTTTGCTGTATTTGCTCTCCCTCTCTTTGTGTCTATAAAATATTTTATATATATATGTATAACTTTTTTGCTAAACCATTTGAAAATAAGTCGCAAACATCATGACATTTCACCCCTAATTTCTTTTTGGTTTATAACTTGGCATCCCAACTTGGCCTCCCACCTTGGCATCCCACGCCTGCTAGGATTACAGGTGTGAGCCATCCCACCCAGTCGAGCAGAGAGTTTAAATGCTTATTCTTTTCTTTCTACAAACTTTCCAGTACCTGTCATAAATAGCCATTGCACTCTTCATTCCTCAGAATAGTCATGATTACTACCTTAGAGGCCAATACAGCAGCCACTCAGGCTAGCAAAGACCAGTGTTCAATAATCATTTTGTCCCAGGCAACCACAGGTGATGATTTAAGTGATTTAATGCCCTTGCATGACATGGGGTGCCACAATCCCATTGTACCCTGGCTGTGAGGTCCTCACTGTGTTCAGGCCTAATCAAGTCAGACGGCCTACCCCCAAATCCCATTATTGGAGGTTTGTCTCCTGGTAGCACTGCTGATACCAAGTGCTATGTCATTTAGGGCTTATTTAGAAAAAACAAGAACTACACTAGGAATTGCAAACAGAGGGGATCGAAAGCAGGGAGCTGATTATAAAAGTGTTAAAAGGGCTGAAAGAGCAAAACAGGAAGGATAGGGAGCTCTAGTGCTGGAGCAGCAAAGGGGAGGAGGAGGTGCTGTAGAGCTCAGGACTACAAATCCTGCTGGCTCTGGGAATGGGTGGGGGTGAGGGGGCCATACTGCTGCCGCTGCTGCTGGTATAATCACTAACTAGGGCCACTGCTGCCAGAGCCCCCAAGCCTCTGTATTTGCTTCCTGAGCCACCAAAGGGCTGTGGAGCTGGTGGCCACCTGGTATAGCCAGAACCTCTTCCAGGAGCACAGAGGGGAATAAAAACAGCTTCTTCCCTGCTCCCACCTTTCAGTCTTCCACTAGCGCCTTCCATTGCCTGACGTTAACTGGAGCCGGTGGGCAAGGGGCTCTGGGAGTTGCAGTAAGCCAAGATCCAGCATCACACAATATGGCACTCATGGGACAGAGAGCAAATAGCAAATGGACAAATGGCCTGCACAGTTCAGCACATGGACTTTGGTGCGAATCAAAACAGAAACTCAGCTCTGTGGCCTCGAACACATCATTTACGCTCTCAGAGCCTTACTTTACTCAAACACAAAGTGGGGATAATAACACCCACCCTACAGGGTTATTGCATGAGGCTCAGGTAAATATGTGAAAGTGTCCATGCCAGGGTCTGGCACATTGGGTCCAGCCTCTCCCCTGACTTACTCTTTGACCTTGAACAAGTGCCTGGACTCCTGTGGGCTCTGTTTTCTCATCTGTAAAATGAATGGGGTGGGAATAGAGGCTCCACAGGTTCCTCCTGCCCTGATGAGCTGTAAGGCTATGAATTACTCCTTAATGAAATGGACAGGCTGGGTCTGGCAGGGGCTGGAAGGAGGGTGTGATTGCTGAAAAGGAACCCAGAGGAGGGCAGGCTCGAAGAGACTCTGGCTGCGAATGAGCACTCTGAGCTGCGTGCTTCACAGAGAACATGCTCATGTGTCACGCAGCTCACATGGCAGCCACCTTAACGGTCCCTGCACCTCCAGGCTGCTGTCACCCCCGGCAACACTGACCAAGTCTCTATTCCCTTTGATGTGCTCAATCTCAGCACAGCTCAGTCGACAAGAAATTGCCTGGAGCAGCCTTTTTCTGCACACTGTGATCCAGAAAGAGGGCCTTAAATGAAATCCATCATGAAGATCAGGTTTGTAAGCTCTGGGGACTGCGAGGGGCCTAAGTACTTGAGCCTTGAGAATCCTCCTGTTTGGGCTGGAATTATGAATATCAACTTAGGCTGGGGAGGTGTTGAAATGCCTGCAGAGGCTGGCGTTGTGGGAAGTTGACATGCGGTTACTAAAACATGGGGCATTTTTGTCCGGCAAAGAAGGGTTCAAGGGCCCATTATGTTCTGCCACTGCTAATTAATACCAATTTCTTAACTTCAAAAAAAAAAAAAAGATGAAAATATGAAGTGTTAGCAAGGGTGTGGAGCACATCTTATGTGTGCTAGAGGAGGTGTAAATTAGCAAAATCACTTTAGAAAACTGTCTAGCAGTGTCTATTCAAGTCATGTACCTATCCTATGACCCGGAAACGCCACACTTACGTAAGATCTAGTTAAGTGAATTTGTTCACCAAAACTCATGTATAAGAATGTTCATAGCAGCCCCAAACTGGAAACTACCTAAGCACCCATCAACAGTAGAATGGATAAATTGAAAATATTGCATTCACATAATGAAATACTATTCATTAATGACAAAGGACAATCTAGAATGTATGCAACAATATGGATGTATTACACAGGCATAACATGGAATGATGGAACAAGATCAGATGCAAGTGAGTTACTATTAGTTGTTTATAGTTATATACAGTTTAGTATGTTTGTCCTCCAAACCTCATGTTGAAATTTGATTCCCCAGTGTTGGGGGTGGGACCTAATGGAAGGTGTTTGGGTCATGGGGCAGATCCCTCATGAATGGCTTGGCACCGCCCATGCAGTAATGTGTGAGTTCTTGCTCTCTCACTTCCCTAGAGAGTTGGTTATTAAAAAGAGCCTGGTACCTATCTCCGCTCTCTCTTGCTTCCTCTCTCACCATGGGATCTGCACACACCGGCTCCCCTTCACCTTCCACCATGAGTGGAAGCATCCTGAAGCTCTCACCAGAAGCAGATGCTGGTGCCATGTGTTTTGTACAGAGGCAGAATTAAGAGCCAAATAAATCTCTTTTCTATATAAATTGCCCAGCCTCAGGTATTCCTTTATAGCACCATAAATGGACCAAGACAGTTATCTATTGGTATATAACAAATTCCCCCAAAACTTAGTGGCTTAAATCAATAGACATATATTATCTCATAGTTTCTGTGGGTAAGGAATTTGGGAGCGGCTAACCTGGGTGTTTCTGGCTCAGGATCTCTGATGAGGTTGCAATCAGAATGTTAGCAGGGCTGCAGGCATCTGAAGCCTTGACTGGGATGGGAGGATTCCCTTCTAAGGTGGCTCACATGGTTGTTAGCAGGTGGTCTCAGTTCCTTGCCATGTGAGTCTCTCCATGAACTGTCTGAATATTTTCATGACATAGCTTCTGGCTTCCCCCAGAGAAGGGGATCCAAGAGAGAACAAGGAGGAAGCTTCGGTGTTTTTCTAACCTAGCCTTGGAAGTGACTTACCATCACTTACACTGTCATCTAGAGGTCACACAGACCAATGCCGATACAATGAAGTGGAGACTACACAATGACATGAATACCAAAAGTTAGGGATCATTGGGAGCAATTTTGGAGGCTGAAATCAACCATTCTACATGATTCTATAAACATAAAGTACAAAACCAGGCAAAACTGAGCTATGTAGTCAGTCAAGATAATGGTTACTCTGGGGAGAGGGCAGTGAGTGGAAGGAAGGAAAAGAGGGGCTTTTAGGAGTGCTGACAATGTTCTGTTTCTTGATATAGGTGTGGTTATATGGCTATGTTCACTTTGGTGAAAATTCATGGAGATGTAACTTATATTTTATTTATTTTACTTTATTTTTTTTAGAGACAGCGTCTCGTTTTCTCACCCAGGCTGGTGTACAGTGCACAACCATAGCTTACTACAGCCTCAAAATCCTGAGCTCACGCAATCCTCTCGCCTTAACCTCTCAAATAGCTGGGACTACAGGGGTGCTACCATGCTCAGCTAATTCTTTAAAAAAGTTTTTTTGTAGAGATGAGGTCTCACTCAGTTGCCTAGGCTGGTCCCAAATTCCTGGCCTCAAACAATCCTCCTGCTTTGGCCTCCCAAAATGTTGAGATTGCAAGCATGAGCCACTGCGCCCAGAACAAGATATAATTTATATGTTTCTCTTCTGTGTGTATATTAAGCTTTGACAAGTTAAACAGAATAAGGAAAAGGAGGAAAAGGAGAAGAGAGAGAGAAAAGAAAGAAAGAAAGAAGGAAAGAAAGAAAGAAAGAAAGAAAGAAAGAAAGAAAGAAAGAAAGAAAAAGAAAGAAAGAAAGAAAGAAAAAGAGAAAAGAAAATAACTCCCATATCACATGGGATTCATGTTTTGTGCATAGAAAATCAGACCTTCTCAGGAGGGTGCTTAGGCTGGCCCAGTGTGGCCCAGGGCAACATAACCAAGAAAGAGAGGGGAGCTCATGATTTGACTGCTAGGAACAAGATACATTGGCAGCAGTCTTCTGATTATAACCCAGGTACCATAACTTCTTGAATATATGAGCATTTGAAAAAATTCAGAAGAAGTAGGAATAATAAAATTTAGATATCTGCAATATCATTCTATTCCCTGAGTGTATCATGCCAACCACCAAGAGACCATAATCGTGCCACCGCACTCCAGCCTGGGTGACAGAGTGAAATCCTGTCTCTACAAAAAAAAAAAAAAAGAGAGAGAGAGAGAGAAAGAGAGACCATAGATTGTCAACCAGCACTGATGTGCATAGCCATGAATTCACAAGACTATTGAGAGAATTAAGTGATATCATATGTGACAAAGTAGTAGGAGCCTAGCATGTAGTAGGCACTAGATACATGTTATGTGTTCATTAACTGGTATTTTAGTTATCTGTTGCTGTT